CTGACCTGAAGCTCATCCGCGAGCTTCTCCAAAAGGGGCCGATGTCCAAACAACCGTCACCACCTACTGGCGCAAGTCGAGATTTGGTAACCCTGCATCGTCAGCTCGCGCATCTGAAACTACAAAACGATTTGTTAGTTTACATACGTGACGATCACAGCCCGCCGCGCTGGGTTGTTCCACTCGACCACAGAGGAGTGATGCTTGCCTACGCCCACGACACTCCGGTTGGAGGTCACCGCGGAACAAAAGCTACCCTCGCGTCACTGACAGAAGTAGCATATTGGCCATCGATGTCCAAGGATGTACACAGCTATGTCCAAGGCTGCCTCATTTGTGCCCATTTTCAACCCTCCCAGCCGCTTGCTAGAGCACCACTGCAACGCAGGGGAATAACCTTCCCTTGGTCCCACCTGCAGATCGACTGGGTTGGACCGGTTCCCAAATCGGCAAGAGGAAACAAATATATGCTAACTGTAACTTGCAGTTTCACAAAGTGGGTGGAATGCCTTCCAGCGCCAAACGATACAGCCGTCACAACCGCTGTACTGCTGATTAACCACGTTTTCAGTCGATGGGGACTTCCACTCTGCATTGACTCTGACCGGGGAACTCATTTCACATCCAGTGTAATGACGTCCCTGTTTGAACTTCTGGGAGTGGAAGTGAGATTCCACCTCCCCTATCACCCACAGTCATCCGGACAGGTCGAACGGATGAACCGCACGGTCGTCTCCATGCTCAAAAAGTACGTCTGCTCCACTGGGAAGGACTGGGACGTCAAGCTCCCTCTGGTCCTGATGGCCATACGGTCCACTCCACAGCGATCCACTGGGGTTACGCCCTTTGAGATGATGACCGGCAGACTGATGACTCTACCACTGCACCTCCTGTATCACCCAGAGGATGTCAGTGTTGCCACTCCCTATACCGCTCATCAGTATGTGGCAGACTTGAAAACACACCTCAGAGCTACGTTCGCGCACGCTCAGAAGAAACTGGAGACCAACGTAGAAGGCGCTAAGGCCTACTACGACCAAAAGACAACCAGCCGCGAATACGAGGTGGGTGACAAAGTATTCTACTTTCGGTTCGCCCAACCGGCACGCAAAGCTAAGAAGTTCCTGCCCTGCTGGTCAGGACCATTTGAGATCGTGGCAAAACTCTCTCCAGTTGCATACAGGTTACGCATCACCAAAGCGAGACAGGAGCCTGTCTACAAATGGGTGCATGCAAACCAAATCAAACCCTACGTCAAACCATCCCCGCGGGTACAGAGACCAGACTCCCCGCAGGAGGTAGACGTAGTCTCGACATAGTTCTATGCATGGAAATGGAAAGGGGGGGAAAGTGCACGTTTAACCCACTAACATGTACTAACCGACAAAGAACCAAGCCCCCCCCCCCCCCCCCCCCCGCCGTCACTTTCACTAACCAAGAGAAACTCCTTCCTAGACCGCTAACAGGATGTACCTACTAAAACCTTACAGAGTACTCTGGTACCTATACTAGGCTCTGATTAATGAATCTCTACGTGCAATCAAGACTTTGTCTGAAACCATACATCAGGATATTGTGTACACATGAGTGGTGAGAGATTTGATGCAGGACCTGCTCAGGGAAGTAAGTTCCACGCTGGACAGCTTGGTTGAAAGTCGTATTTCCCCGTACTTGGTACCACTGGACCTGCTCAAAGTTAGCTTGACAGCTGCTACCCCTCTACTGTGCACCTTTCACAAATCCACCTAGCGTACAGCCTAGGTAGTGCAATTCCCATTCACGTTGATGCAGAAAATTAGAACTCGGTTTCCTGTTACATGTTCCCATAATTGTGACACCTCACATCTATAGGTTTAAGTCGATGCTGAACATTGGTATTTGAAAGGACGGTAGGCATTTCCACTTTGAACTAGAAACCTGACACTCCATCACCTCAACCTCGAACAGCATGACTCAGAGATTGAGATCATGGACGCTTTCCGGGGTTGTAACTTTGCCTTCGATTTAGAAATTGACCAACAATTACTGATTGAAGGAACCAAATTTGCTAAGTTCACACAAAACCCGCGTGAACTTACTTTGACGCCCAAGACGCTACATTGACACAGATTATACGACTTTAATCTGCACATTGGTCGCCCTGGGGATGGGATGGCTCATCACGGCCGTGATAGCTTATTCCGTCTACAGGCGTGTTAATAAACTCCAAGATAAGATGCACTTGCTCACCTACGGTGTGCCTCGTAACCGCGTTCGGGGAGACTCCAAGCGTGAATGTACCACACCTGTCTAAAGGGGGTGAGCAACATTTTCTTTGTTATTCTGTAAACCTAAGAGTAGTTCTGAATTTAGTCTACCTCACATTTTTATCTGAGTGTTGCAGTATGTCACATTCTTTATAAGCTACACACTGACTGTATGACCTAAGAATGTATTTTATGAGACCTCAAGGTTGCTATGAATTTTCTTGGATGTTATATGTTTTTTTTTTGGGGTTTTCTGTATTTTTGTTTCTTACTTGGTCACATATTAACTAGTGGTTATGTGCCGGCCCAGCTCAGTCTGTCAATGACTCTGTCTGACGCACCAGCACATTGTAGTACCTCTTAGTTTTATGGTCCTTGTTTTAGCCCAAAGACTGTCCTGATCCACCCTTTGGACCAAAAAGGGGGGAATCTTGGGACCACATAGGTCAATGCGCGTTTGCGAACTATGGACCTCGTACATCACCGCGTGCTCCATAAACTGAACTGTATGGCCGGCGGTGAGATGCCTTTGTGTCCACTCGTGGAGTTAACCGCCCACCGACCTTCCTCCTTCTACACTACTACCTCTCGCATGGACGACATCATCATTGCGTACCACCTGCGTGAGTGGCTTCTTCTCGTTATGCGCGTTGGGGACTATCCCGTTTCCTATCCTCTTTTGTTTTGTGCCTGACCAGGATCCAAGACAAAGACAAAGACCAGGATCCAAGACAAAGACAAAGACCAAAGGCGCCAGGATCCAAGACAAAGACCAAAGACAAAGGCGTCCAAGGAGACCAACGTCCTAAGGGACAAACCCACCTGTGCTTCCGACAATCAAGTCGACATACGTTCATGAGGAACAAACCCATCTGTGCTTCCGACGATCGAGCTTTGGGCGCGATCCCCGAAACCAAAAGGGGGAATGTTGAGGGTCTGACCTCATGAGGAAATTACTATGCAGTGATTTTCTCCAAAATGACTGTGCTTAAATTGCTCTGAAAAGCAAATAATCACATCAGCGCCAAGAAACTTCATTTCCCATGATGCTTTGCACACGGAAGCATTGGGTGATGTCACCGCCTAGTACCAGAAACACGTTCTGCGCATGTGCGGGAAGCCGTGGAGCTTTTCCCGCGAACTAAGACCATAAATCTTCAGCAGAGACAAAGAAACCTCGTTCTTTTGCCCAGGATACCTGGCGGTGAGGACACGCTTGTCGAACGCTCCGACTTCTTTGAGCACGCGGAAGCTCTAAGAGCCAAGTTGAGCCCACGGGACCGCTGATCTGCTCGTTTCTGCTCCCCTCCAGCTGATGTTTGAGGACACAGAACCAGCGGAGGGAAACAACAACTCCATCCAGCTCTCAGAAACGCTGTAAGTTGTCAAACTCAGCCCAAAAGGAACTTCGTTTTCTTTGTGTCCAGCCGTGGAGAAACACTCGTGGAGCCAAACAACGGAGAAAGCATCAAACCGGCGGATGACGCTGAAAACTGCGGAGAAACACGGAGAACCGTCAAATCAAAAGGGGGAGGGACGCCTCGCTCTTTTGGTGATCAGAAAACTCATTTTTCTCTCATTCTTTTCTTCTCCCGTTTCCTCTATAGTCCAGAATAAGCAATAAAACCGCGCTATTGCTTAAAAAAAGTAGCTTCGTGTTTTCCTCTTTCGTTCCAAATTCGTCCTTCGGGTCATTTTGAAAGAATAAACTGCTTATTAATCATTGTTTGGTATCTTTAAATGTTCGGCCATGGCCAGGCTGATAAACTAAGGATATTAACTCGTGATTAATCTTTTGTGTTGTTGCATGATCCTTTGAAATGTTTTGAGTGATTTAAGGTTAAGTTACTACTGATTCTAAGTGCTTTGGAAGTTAAAGTGCAAGTTGCCACCCACACTTTAGCCAGACAAAGGAGTCAGCCATCTTGTATTCAAGACTCCATTTTGAATCCATACACACGCACACACACTACTCCTTTGTGAGAACAAAGGACCCCATTCATACATCCTACATACACACAAAACACCTTGAACATTATTTTGAATATACATCCTTTTATTATATCACATGGTTATTATTCATTTATGCCACTGTTTATTCATTTGACAAATTGTTAATTAAACGTTATAAAATTCAGATTTTCGTCTCCAGTAGCTTTGTTGTGTCGAAGAGAAGTCTCTGCTCCAAGGATTCTACGAACTTCAAGAAAGACTGATAAGAGTTTTGGATTCAATTTTTCCCCGGTTAAAGGGGAATGGTGCCCCGTATATCTAAGAATATCTTAATTAATTAATAAATCAGTAAATATTCCCATATTTACAGAATTTATTGAAGAATCCAAAAGTAAGTTGAAGCTTACTAATTGTTCGCTCCTAATAACCCCAACACCTCTTACATCAGGAAGAACCCGCGTGTTTCGAGCGTTATCCGTTCTTTCATAATCCGTTGTTGAATTGTGATCGGCAGAAGCTTTTCCGGTTCACGCCTCACTTTTTTTACGGCAGCGGCCCAAAACGATCTCCTAACACGTGGATGTTCTGCTTCCTGATCACGTGACGTGTGACGTACGCGGACGAAGATCGGCTTTAGAGCTGTTTGTTCTCACGGTGCGGGGGCTCGTCCGACGCTCACACAGTAAAAACATGTAAATGACGACTTTAGTCGTCATTGGCAGTGAACGAGTTAAACAAGTGGACCAGACCTTTAAACTGTAGCCAGCAGCAGCTGAAGTACAAACAGGAGCAGCGGTTTACCTCCTTAAAGTCTTTGACGGTTTTGAAGTAGAGTCTCCGCTCGTCGAGCAGCTCCAGGTATTCATCGTTCAGCTGATCTCTTCTCATTTTATTCTCCTGCTTCTTCTTCTCCATCTGAACAAGGAGACGAAGAGGAGCAGTAAAAACGTCAGCATCACGATGCTGCAGCACCGGATCATCTAAATAACACTGATGAGTTGCTGTTGAGTGTCTGATCTTCTCACTGGAACAAGAAAAAGCTGCAGCCACTGACGTGTGAGAGTAACCCTAACCCACAGAAGTCAACAATAACACCTTTCTAGTTGTATGATGAACAAAAACCATGATTTTCATTTGTGTGTTTGTTGCAGCTAACTCAGTCAGCAGCAGTGACCTTGATGCGACTCTGTTTGATTCCCTCCACGATTTGCTCCATCTGTCTGAGGAACTGCTCCTTGGCTGCAGCAGACGACATGGCTCTGGAGCAGAGCAGAGCAGAGCTCGTCAGAAACAAGGAACCATCCGTTTTTTACCACACACGGTTTCTCTATACTCACTGTTGGAAGTTGTCATGGATAGAATTCAGCAGAGTCACCTGGAGAAGTGAAGATGTTTCCCCAATATTAATATTTAGAGCAAAAACACCACAATACATTTAAAAACGCCAGCTTCTTCTTTAAATCTGCTATTATTCTGTTGTGTTGGAAGATGCCTGCAGATATCACTCGCCTCCTTCTCAAGGTAAACCTTCTTATCATCCAGCGTGTTGTACAGAGTGAAGAACTGCTTGGTCTCTTTGTGTGTAGCGGACACTGGAACCACAACAAGAATGAACGAGAGAGAGAGAGAGAGAGAGAGAGCGTGCACACACACGCACACACACGCACGCGCGCACACACACACACACACAAACCCACCCACCTTGGCTGTAGAGTTCAATGAATCTCTTCTGGTACTGAGTCAACTCAGCCCGACTCGGCACCTCGTCTATTTTTCTCTGTAGAATGGCGATCTCACGGTTTCTTCGAGCCTAGGCAGAGTTACAGGGATCCCAGATCAGTTTACTGAAGAACGAGTTTATAAAAACCCAGAGACGCGTCCTCCTCCATCTGTGACCCAGTAGCCACCTCAGGGTGGCGCCAACAGCAGGCTGAGTATAATTTAGTGTCTCCAAAAACACAAAAGCGCTGCCGGTGCATCCCGGGTGTTTACGGCGGATCCCCTAAGAGAAGCAACTGTGCCTCTCCTCTTTGCATAATCAAGCCACGTGTAGAGACGTGTGGTGGGTGTGTTACTGCTCATGTATGTGAACCGTCATCATTAACGGTTTCCCATCATGCCCAGGAGGTGCTGTCACAAAGACCGATAGCTGTAGAAGTACGTAGACACCAGCCACAAACTTCCAGTCTGTTCGTTTTTGATCCATCTGGAAGTTTGTTCAGAAAAGGGCAACTGTGTGGACTTTGTGAGCGTGCATGATGCCGTCTCGGCCCAGCCGCTCCGGTCATCACAGGATCGTCGGCTAGCAGTGCCTACACCACGCTCAGGACAATCCAGACTCTTCTCATGCATCGTTCCACAAATGTGGAATGACCTACCAAGCACTACCAGAACAGCGGCTTCCTTTTCAATTTTCAAGAAACTCCTGAAGACCCTGCTCTTCAGAGAGCATCTTCTAAACTAGCACCCTCCCTGCACCTGTCCCCCCTCTCTACTGTCCACTCCTTTTTCCCTCCTCTCCATGATTGATGTCAAGTTGTTGTTGTTGTTGTTAGCCTCAAGGGCAACATGCCGAGTATCACTTGTAAGTCGCTTTGGACAAAAGCGTCTGCTAAATACATAAACATAAACAGAGTAAAACAGGGAACTGTGGGGGACGTGTTGTATTGTAACACACAGGGAGTTCTTGTTTTGGGTTCTGCTCTGCACTGATATCTGAGGTACGGTATCTACAGCTATGACCCAGTTGTCCTGCAGATTGCTCCCATCTCTGATCTTCTGTTAGACGGTTACCATGAGAAGACGGATCTTCTGCAGCTTCTCCCTGTCCGAGTTACACTGCTCCTCGATCAGCTGGCTCCTCTCCTACAGAACGGAAAATAAAAAGTGTTATGAGATGTGTGACTGAAGAGAAGAAAACCTCTCATCAGCAGAGATTTAGATGTATGTATGACTGTAGATGGAGTCATCCCTGGCTGATAAAGTGGGAGCTGGACACAAACCCTCTCGTCCTGAGTGCCCTGTCCTGATGTGGACTTTAACTCCTCTATGTTCTGCTGTAGACGAGACAGTTCCTCCTGTGGACAAACATTCACACACTGAAACTGAGATTCTATCATTATTAAATACAAGATCTAAACACAAATGGTCATGTGCTCACTCTACAATGTGTGCGAAACTCCTGCTCCTGCTGCTTCAGGTTCTCATTCATGGTCACTAGAGAGCGGAGCTTCTCCAGCAGACTGTCAAACACAGAGACAGGTCATATCTCCCTTCTGTGTCACAGCCACTCTTATGTAAGGCTGAGATCTGACTGAGCTGCAAGGAAACCGGCCCCTTTATTCAAACGTCCAACTGCAGTGGTTTTAGTTGCTATAGGTTCCTTAAACACCGCTGAAATCTGGAGCTCTGTGGCAGATGAAACGAAGAGTGTGTGATGAAGGGAACGGCTCACCCACTGTCCACCTGCTGCTCCATCTCCTCTAAAGAGTTCAGCTCTTGGTGCAGCTTCTCCGACTGCTCTGTAGCCTGGAAGCAAACGCATCACAGCCCTCTGAGAAACTGGGTTAAAACGCTACGTGTCATAAGCAACACCTAATTCCCTTTAACATCGTCACTTTTTAACTTCTCCGTGGCCTAGTGGCAGAGTGTCCGCCCTGGAACCGAGATCGAGGTTCAAATCCCGGTCAGGTCGTCCCAAAGACTTTAACAGTTGGACCCAGTGCCTCCCTGCTGGACACTCAGCTTTAAGGGGTTGGATTGGGGGGTTAAACCACCAAATAGCTCCTGAGCGCAGCTGTAGCTCACTGCTCCCCACAAGGATGGGTCAGATGTGGAGATGTAATTTCACCAGTGTGTGATGACTATTGAGACTTTAATTTTTATCCACTGATTTTAAACAAACTTAAAAAACAAGACTGGGAGGAGGACCGTTACAAGGTGACATTTAGAGTTGGTCCATTTACATGTAAACACTCCATCTCTCCACAAAGCCAGGGTCATGGTTCCTTACTGCCAAAAGCACCCAGACCAACCACCTTTCTCCAGTTTGTTACATTAACATCGTCCAACACAACCAGTCACATTCCTGTGGAGGGCTGCACAGTTTAGACTAATTGTCCCACTTAAGTTGGTGGTTAGCTTTAGTAATGTCAAAAACTAAAAGCCATGCAGGACAGTAATTTACCTTCATCAGCTTCCTCTTGGCCTCCTCACAGCCCATCTTCACCTCATCATGCTTGGCGCGGCACTGTTGGCCCAAAACACATAATTACGCATAACAGGGTGATTCCTAAAGATTTATACACCAGGCTGGAGGACGTGAAGATCTGTTCAACAAGGGAAAAACAACCATCCATCCTTTTCTCCCCTCAGACTGTGGTCACCACCAGAGACAAAGACCAAAGGACCAAAGACATGGACTAAAGGACCAGAGACATGGACCAAAGGACCAGAGACATGGATCAAAGGACCAGAGACATGGACCAAAGCACCAGAGACATGGACCAAAGGACCAGAGACATGGACCAAAGGACCAGAGACATGGACCAAAGGACCAGAGACATGGACCAAAGGACCAGAGACATGGACCAAAGGACCAGAGACATGGACCAAAGGACCAGAGAGACATGGACTAAAGGACCAAGAGACATGGACCAAAGGACCAGAGAGACATGGACCACAGGAGCAAGAGACATGGACCAAAGGAGCAAGAGACATGGAATAAAGGACCAGAGAGATGAGCACCAAGGGACCAGAGAGGGTTGGACGAGTGGACTCCTGACCACAGAGCACTGCTGACCTCTTCCAGCTGCTTGGTCTTCTGCTGCAGGTGTTTGTTGAGCGAGGTGACAGTCCTGCGGTGCTGCTGAAGAGGACCGTAGCGCTCAGACCGCTCCTCCAGGGACAGCTCTGACTGCTGCAGACAAACACACCACATCTTTAGATTACTGTCAAATAGATGAGTTAATATTTACTTCCAGCACTCACAGGACAGCAAGGCCATAATGTCTCTTATATTAGAAGAATGGTTAGCTTACCTTCTCAGCATACTCAGAGGCAATTTGTTTGATCTCCTCAGACTGCAGTCCAACTATATGACCCACGGCACTTGCAGTAAGCTTCCCCTGCACATCCAAAACATTCATCACAAGCTCTGCTTCAAACCCATCTTTTACTTCTGATGAAGTAGTTCTGTAAATATATATCAATGCAGTGATGCAGGGAGAGTCTCAGTTTGTTAGCGGTGGTTTTCGGGTCCCAGTAACCTCATGTTTGTCCTCTGGTACCAGAGTCTGGTCTTACTTTCTTATTGATCTGACACAAGCAGACAGGAACACTTGAAATGCTGCCTCAATAAGATTCACGATGTAGTTTGTTTAAAATAACTGTGAATGTGACACAAAACACTGTTCTAGGGTGTCCACGATCCTGTGCACCATAAACTACTGAATCATCTGTCCAACTGTAGTCACAGGAACATCAGGCTGCCAGGACATGGTCTTCTAGCCTTTAGCTGTTAGATGGTCTTCTAGCCTTTAGCTGTTAGATGGTCTTCTAGCCTTTAGCTGTTAGATGGTCTTCTAGCCTTTAGGAGATGGTCTTCTAGCCTTTAGCTGTTAGATGCTCTTCTAGCCTTTAGCTGTTAGATGCTCTATTAGCCTTTAGCTGTTAGATGCTCTTCTAGCCTTTAGCTGTTAGATGCTCTTCTAGCCTTTAGCTGTTAGATGGTCTTCTGGCCTTTAGCTGTTAGATGTTTTACTAGCCTTTAGCTGTTAGATGGTCTTCTAGCCTTTAGGAGATGGTCTTTTAGCCTTTAGCTGTTAGATGGTCTACTAGCCTTTAGCTGTTAGATGGTCTACTAGCCTTTAGCTGTTAGATGGTCTACTAGCCTTTAGCTGTTAGATGCTCTTCTAGCCTTTAGCTGTTAGATGCTCTTCTAGCCTTTAGCTGTTAGATGGTCTTCTAACCTTTAGCTGTTAGATGGTCTTCTAGCCTTTAGCTGTTAGATGGTCTTCTAGCCTTTAGCTGTTAGATGGTCTTCTAGCCTTTAGGAGATGGTCTTCTAGCCTTTAGCTGTTAGATGGTCTACTAGCCTTTAGCTGTTAGATGGTCTTCTAGCCTTTAGCTGTTAGATGGTCTTCTAGCCTTTAGCTGTTAGATGGTCTTCTAGCCGTTAGCTGTTAGATGATCTACTAGCCTTTAGCTGTTAGATGGTCTTCTAGCCTTTAGGAGATGGTCTTCTAGCCTTTAGCTGTTAGATGGTCTTCTAGCCTTTAGCTGTTAGATGGTCTTCTAGCCTTTAGCTGTTAGATGCTCTTCTAGCCTTTAGCTGTTAGATGGTCTTCTAGCCTTTAGCGGTTAGATGGTCTTCTAGCCTTTAGCTGTTAGATGGTCTTCTAGCCTTTAGCTGTTAGATGGTCTTCTAGCCGTTAGCTGTTAGATGATCTACTAGCCTTTAGCTGTTAGATGGTCTTCTAGCCTTTAGGAGATGGTCTTCTAGCCTTTAGCTGTTAGATGGTCTTCTAGCCTTTAGCTGTTAGATGCTCTTCTAGCCTTTAGCGGTTAGATGGTCTTCTAGCCTTTAGCGGTTAGATGGTCTACTAGCCTTTAGCTGTTAGATGCTCTTCTAGCCTTTAGCTGTTAGATGCTCTTCTAGCCTTTAGCTGTTAGATGCTCTTCTAGCCTTTAGCTGTTAGATGCTCTTCTAGCCTTTAGCTGTTAGATGCTCTTCTAGCCTTTAGGAGATGGTCTTCTAGCCTTTAGCTGTTAGATGGTCTACTAGCCTTTAGCTGTTAGATGCTCTTCTAGCCTTTAGCTGTTAGATGCTCTTCTAGCCTTTAGCTGTTAGATGCTCTTCTAGCCTTTAGCTGTTAGATGCTCTTCTAGCCTTTAGCTGTTAGATGCTCTTCTAGCCTTTAGCTGTTAGATGGTCTTCTAGCCTTTAGGAGATGGTCTTCTAGCCTTTAGTTGTTAGATGGTCTACTAGCCTTTAGCAGATGGTCTTCTAGCCTTTAGGAGATGGTCTACTAGCCTTTATCTGTTAGATGGTCTTCTAGCCTTTAGGAGATGGTCTTCTAGCCTTTAGGAGATGGTCTTCTAGCCTTTAGGAGATGGTCTTCTAGCCTTTAGCTGTTAGATGGTCTTCTAGCCTTTAGGAGATGGTCTTCTAGCCTTTAGGAGATGGTCTTCTAGCCTTTAGGAGATGGACTTCTAGCCTTTAGTTGTTAGATGGTCTACTAGCCTTTAGCTGTTAGATGGTCTTCTAGCCTTTAGGAGATGGTCTTCTAGCCTTTAGCTGTTAGATGCTTTTCTAGCCTTTAGGAGATGGTCTTCTAGCCTTTAGCTGTTAGATGGTCTTCTAGCCTTTAGCTGTTAGATGGTCTTCTAGCCTTTAGCTGTTAGATGGTCTTCTAGCCTTTAGGAGATGCTCTTCTAGCCTTTAGCTGTTAGATGCTCTTCTAGCCTTTAGCTGTTAGATGGTCTTCTAGCCTTTAGCTGTTAGATGGTCTTCTAGCCTTTAGCTGCTAGATGGTCTACTAGCCTTTAGCTGTTAGATGCTCTTCTAGCCTTTAGCTGTTAGATGGTCTACTAGCCTTTAGCTGTTAGATGGTCTACTAGCCTTTAGGAGATGGTCTTCTAGCCTTTAGCTGTTAGATGGTCTTCTAGCCTTTAGGAGATGCTCTTCTAGCCTTTAGCTGTTAGATGCTCTTCTAGCCTTTAGCTGTTAGATGCTCTTCTAGCCTTTAGCTGTTAAATGCTCTTCTAGCCTTTAGCTGTTAGATGGTCTACTAGCCTTTAGCTGTTAGATGGTCTACTAGCCTTTAGCTGCTAGATGGTCTACTAGCCTTTAGCTGTTAGATGGTCTTCTAGCCTTTAGCTGTTAGATGCTCTTCTAGCCTTTAGCTGTTAGATGGTCTACTAGCCTTTAGGAGATGGTCTTCTAGCCTTTAGCTGTTAGATGGTCTACTAGCCTTTAGGAGATGCTCTTCTAGCCTTTAGGAGATGGTCTTCTAGCCTTTAGGAGATGGTCTTCTAGCCTTTAGCTGTTAGATGCTCTTCTAGCCTTTAGGAGATGGTCTTCTAGCCTTTAGCTGTTAGATGGTCTTCTAGCCTTTAGGAGATGGTCTTCTAGCCTTTAGGAGATGGTCTTCTAGCCTTTAGTTGTTAGATGGTCTACTAGCCTTTAGTTGTTAGATGGTCTACTAGCCTTTAGCAGATGGTCTTCTAGCCTTTAGGAGATGCTCTTCTAGCCTTTAGGAGATGCTCTTCTAGCCTTTAGCTGTTAGATGCTCTTCTAGCCTTTAGCTGTTAGATGCTCTTCTAGCCTTTAGGAGATGGTCTTCTAGCCTTTAGCTGTTAGATGGTCTTCTAGCCTTTAGGAGATGGTCTTCTAGCCTTTAGGAGATGGTCTTCTAGCCTTTAGGAGATGGTCTTCTAGCCTTTAGTTGTTAGATGGTCTACTAGCCTTTAGGAGATGGTCTTCTAGCCTTTAGGAGATGGTCTACTAGCCTTTAGCTGTTAGATGGTCTTCTAGCCTTTAGGAGATGGTCTTCTAGCCTTTAGGAGATGGTCTTCTAGCCTTTAGGAGACGGTCTTCTAGCCTTTAGCTGTTAGATGGTCTTCTAGCCTTTAGGAGATGGTCTTCTAGCCTTTAGTTGTTAGATGGTCTACTAGCCTTTAGCTGTTAGATGGTCTTCTAGCCTTTATGAGATGGTCTTCTAGCCTTTAGCTGTTAGATGCTTTTCTAGCCTTTAGGAGATGGTCTTTTAGCCTTTAGCTTTTAGATGGTCTTCTAGCCTTTAGCTGTTAGATGGTCTTCTTGCCTTTAGCTGTTAGATGGTCTTCTAGCCTTTAGGAGATGCTCTTCTAGCCTTTAGGAGATGGTCTTCTAGCCTTTAGTTGTTAGATGGTCTACTAGCCTTTAGCTGCTAGATGGTCTACTAGCCTTTAGCTGTTAGATGGTCTTCTAGCCTTTAGCTGTTAGATGCTCTTCTAGCCTTTAGCTGTTAGATGGTCTACTAGCCTTTAGGAGATGGTCTTCTAGCCTTTAGCTGTTAGATGGTCTACTAGCCTTTAGGAGATGGTCTTCTAGCCTTTAGGAGATGGTCTTCTAGCCTTTAGCTGTTAGATGGTCTTCTAGCCTTTAGGAGATGGTCTTCTAGCCTTTAGCTGTTAGATGGTCTTCTAGCCTTTAGGAGATGGTCTTCTAGCCTTTAGGAGATGGTCTTCTAGCCTTTAGGAGATGGTCTTCTAGCCTTTAGTTGTTAGATGGTCTACTAGCCTTTAGTTGTTAGATGGTCTACTAGCCTTTAGCAGATGGTCTTCTAGCCTTTAGGAGATGCTCTTCTAGCCTTTAGGAGATGCTCTTCTAGCCTTTAGCTGTTAGATGCTCTTCTAGCCTTTAGCTGTTAGATGGTCTACTAGCCTTTAGGAGATGGTCTTCTAGCCTTTAGCTGTTAGATGCTCTTCTAGCCTTTAGCTGTTAGATGGTCTTCTAGCCTTTAGGAGATGGTCTTCTAGCCTTTAGGAGATGGTCTTCTAGCCTTTAGTTGTTAGATGGTCTACTAGCCTTTAGCAGATGGTCTTCTAGCCTTTAGGAGATGGTCTACTAGCCTTTAGCTGTTAGATGGTCTTCTAGCCTTTAGGAGATGGTCTTCTAGCCTTTAGGAGATGGTCTTCTAGCCTTTAGGAGATGGTCTTCTAGCCTTTAGGAGATGGTCTTCTAGCCTTTAGGAGATGGTCTTCTAGCCTTTAGGAGACGGTCTTCTAGCCTTTAGCTGTTAGATGGTCTTCTAGCCTTTAGGAGATGGTCTTCTAGCCTTTAGTTGTTAGATGGTCTACTAGCCTTTAGCTGTTAGATGGTCTTCTAGCCTTTATGAGATGGTCTTCTAGCCTTTAGCGGTTAGATGCTTTTCTAGCCTTTAGGAGATGGTCTTTTAGCCTTTAGCTTTTAGATGGTCTTCTAGCCTTTAGCTGTTGGATGGTCTTCTTGCCTTTAGCTGTTAGATGGTCTTCTAGCCTTTAGGAGATGCTCTTCTAGCCTTTAGCTGTTAGATGCTCTTCTAGCCTTTAGCTGTTAGATGGTCTTCTAGCCTTTACCTGCTAGATGGTCTACTAGCCTTTAGCTGCTAGATGGTCTACTAGCCTTTAGCTGCTAGATGGTCTACTAGCCTTTAGCTGTTAGATGCTCTTCTAGCCTTTAGCTGTTAGATGCTCTTCTAGCCTTTAGCTGTTAGATGCTCTTCTAGCCTTTAGCTGTTAGATGGTCTACTAGCCTTTAGGAGATGGTCTTCTAGCCTTTAGCTGTTAGATGGTCTTCTAGCCTTTAGGAGATGCTCTTCTAGCCTTTAGCTGTTAGATGGTCTACTAGCCTTTAGGAGATGGTCTTCTAGCCTTTAGCTGTTAGATGGTCTTCTAGCCTTTAGCTGTTAGATGCTCTTCTAGCCTTTAGGAGATGGTCTTCTAGCCTTTAGCTGTTAGATGGTCTTCTAGCCTTTAGGAGATGGTCTTCTAGCCTTTAGCTGTTAGATGGTCTACTAGCCTTTAGGAGATGGTCTTCTAGCCTTTAGCTGTTAGATGGTCTACTAGCCTTTAGCTGTTAGATGGTCTTCTAGCCTTTAGCTGCTAGATGGTCTTCTAGCCTTTAGCTGCTAGATGGTCTTCTAGCCTTTAGCTGCTAGATGGTCTTCTAGCCTTTAGCTGTTAGATGGTCTTCTAGCCTTTAGCTGTTAGATGGTCTTCTAGCCTTTAGCTGTTAGACGGTCTTCTAGCCTTTAGCTGTTAGATGGTCTTCTAGCCTTTAGCTGTTAGATGGTCTTCTAGCCTTTAGCTGTTAGATGGTCTTCTAGCCTTTAGCTGTTAGATGGTCTTCTAGCCTTTAGCTGTTAGATGGTCTTCTAGCCTTTAGCTGTTAGATGGTCTTCTAGCCTTTAGCTGTTAGATGGTCTTCTAGCCTTTAGCTGTTAGATGGTCTTCTAGCCTTTAGCAGTTAGATGGTCTTCTAGCCTTTAGCAGTTAGATGGTCTTCTAGCCTTTAGCTGTTAGATGGTCTTCTAGCCTTTAGCTGTTAGATGGTCTTCTAGCCTTTAGCTGTTAGATGGTCTTCTAGCCTTTAGCTGTTAGATGGTCTTCTAGCCTTTAGCTGTTAGATGGTCTTCTAGCCTTTAGCTGTTAGATGGTCTTCTAGCCTTTAGCTGTTAGATGGTCTTCTAGCCTTTAGGAGATGGTCTTCTAGCCTTTAGGAGATGGTCTTCTAGCCTTTAGCTGTTAGATGGTCTACTAGCCTTTAGCTGTTAGATGGTCTACTAGCCTTTAGCTGTTAGTTGGTCTAGTCTTTAGCTGTTAGATGGTCTACTAGCCTTTAGCTGTTAGATGGTCTTCTAGCCTTTAGCTGTTAGATTGTCTACTAGCCTTTAGCTGTTAGATGGTCTTCTAGCCTTTAGGAGATGCTCTTCTCGCCTTTAGCTGTTAGATGGTCTTCTAGCCTTTAGCTGTTAGATGGTCTTCTAGCCTTTAGCTGTTAGATGGTCTTCTAGCCTTAAGCTGTTAGATGGTCTTCTAGCCGTTAGGAGATGGTCTTCTAGCCTTTAGCTGTTAGATGGTCTTCTAACCTTTAGGAGATGGTCTTCTAGCCTTTAGCTGTTAGATGGTCTACTAGCCTTTAGGAGATGGTCTACTAGCCTTTAGCTGTTAGATGGTCTACTAGCCTTTAGGAGATGGTCTTCTAGCCTTTAGGAGATGGTCTACTAGCCTTTAGCTGTTAGATGGTCTACTAGCCTTTAGGAGATGGTCTTCTAGCCTTTAGGAGATGGTCTACTAGCCTTTAGCTGTTAGATGGTCTACTAGCCTTTAGGAGATGGTCTTCTAGCCTTTAGGAGATGGTCTTCTAGCCTTTCCCTTTAACATGCTGGTCAATAATAGTTGCATTCCTTTCAGCCTTTAAAATGGCAGACTGATGACCAGACTGAAGACACCTGTGATGCTGATTCCAGGACACACCTGAGTCCAACACATCTATGTGTGCACGTTCATTTACCTCATCTCTAGAGAAACCATCATCTACCGATCAGTTTGTTTTTCCCGTTGAGCCAAAAGTAAAATGCAAATGTCTGAATTTTTTGACAGATTTTCAGTAAATGTTTACGTACACATTTCCCTTTTCAGCTTCAAGGTCAGTGATCTTTTTGAGTTATTAATTCTTCAAGAGAAGGGTGCCAATTTAACCCACACCTGCATGAAATCAACAGTCAAGTTCTAGCATACCTCTTCAATTGCCATGGCAGCCATGTTGGTCATCAGAGTTTTGATTCGTATCTAAAACACAAAATAATCCGAGTTTAAGGTTCTAAAGACAAGCAGATTTGTTTCTATGCTTTATTTTCACTCAAACATTCATAGACCTCATCTCTCTGGTCCTGCTTCTCAAACATGAGACCCACCCCTCTCCCCTGAATAGTCCTAGAGAAACTACCCGAATCATTTTACACCTTAGTCAGCATTTATTATGTCCTGATAAATAAAATGCTGGAATTGAAAGAGGGCAGACTTTCTGAGTGTATTAATTCAACTATTGGCTGAATTTAGCATTCACCTCCTCTGCTGCCTGCAGGTTGTCCTCTTCCAACACCTCTGCCATCCCAGGAGGAACCACCTGAGAACCTGACAGTGAAGTCTTACCATCATCTGTCTAAAGGAAGAAAAAGTAACAGTCAAAGCTCAAAAGGACAGAAATTAACCACATCATTCCATATTGCCTTCGGGCTTGTTAAAGGAGATGTGACTTTTCTTAAGTTATAACAGTTCTATGGTCAATAAAAAACATGTTTATAAAGTTCTTTGCACTGAATTCCTCTCTCAAAGAACATTTCAGCAGCTTTTAATCTCAACAGTTTCAGTACCTTCCAGAATGAGTTGTTTCAAGGCTCTGTCAGTGCAGCCAGCCAGCCACGCCCACCCACCCCCCACTCAGGCTGCTATAAGCTGAGAAGCTCTGATATCCTGGAGGGGATTGGAATAGAGCTGCTGCTCCAGCAGCTGTTCTCTCTCGCACGTGAGAGATATTTCTATGCTAAATTCCCTGTTTGTGAGGTCATAAACAGAGACCTTTTGAAACTACATGGTACAGGCACATCATTCCTAAAACCAAACACTAACAGAAAAGTTTTTTTTTTTTACATTTGTAGTGTTTATAGAGGCTGTAGAGACCAACATGGGGTGATGTTACATAATTCCTCACCCTTTAACCCTCCCACTGTTTTTAAGGGTGACCCTGCAGAAAGTTGACCATTGAGCAGGGTTGATGGTTTATCCCTTGGGTCCATGAGACAGGGGTGAGGAGTGAGCACCGCTTCACCCCTGCCTCATGGACCTAAAGGGATAAACCGCCAACCCTGCTCAATGGTCAACTTTCCTCGCGGAGTCACCCATTAGGACAGTGGGAGGGTTAAAATGTGGCTTCTGTGTGTTTGGTTATAAACAGGCTTTGGAAAGTTGGTCATAGGTTTTTCACATTTTCCTGAGATTCCTGATAAAACCATTCATACATATTTACCTACAGTGTGTTTATTCAGACAGTTTCCATTAAAACATTTACCTAGTCAATATTTCAGCCAAAGTCCTGAGTCTCAAATAAAAATCTTCATGTTTGGCCAGAAGTCTCATGATTCTCATTAGGAATCTGATATATTCAGAAACTTTCTTCCACCCAGAAGCAGCAACCAACAGAACAATGGTTCCAATCAATGGTCTGGAATGTACCAGTGTTATTTATACCTATTTAACATCATATACACCTACCTTGTCCTGCTTAGACTGCTTACTGAATCCATAACGCCTAGAGACAAACACAACAGGGTCACATCACTTCTATTGGTACTATAAAATACAGATCCAGTCATAAGAGCTGGGATGTCAAATGTCATCGAGAAAAGACAGGCCACAGTTTGCATCCATCATGCTTAAAACGTGAGCTCATTCTCTGACAAACATCCAAACCAGCACCACAGCACACCGGAGGAAGCTCCACAGTCACAGTACTTACAGGAGGACATTGCACATTCTAGAGGCAGAGATGGATGGAAAAACACAATTTATCAGATGAATGAAAAACTAAATATTCAGGACAACGAGGGAAGGGAAAGTGTTCACATTACACCTGTTCTTCTTCATCTTCTACACTTTAATGTTTAAACAGACTCATGCTCTACGAACCTAGTGCCGACCCTGGTCCATTATTACTACTACTGGTCAGAGTCAGAGCACAGCTGTCCAAGTCTTTAGTTTAAATGTTAGAGAACATGTTCGTTCTGCTGACGAGAAACAGCCTCGGACGTCCACAGCAGCGGGGCTTCGTCTGGCTTTTAGTCAGCTGCTGGTAGGGTTGGGCAATGTGACCTAAAAGCAATATCACGATATATTGAGGATTTCACCTCGATAACGATAAATGGACGATAACTACAGGTATGTGCAGAAACAAAAGTTGACCACTAGATGGGGCTATCACATGTTTTACGTTGAGTCACATGGGCCGTGTTCGAGATGAGCCAGCTAGCTCCGCACAGACTAGATCGCCGGTGATCGGCACGCAGTGCTTGCCGGTTATTTGTGTCCGACTTAACGCCGACTTGCTCTGACGTCATGCATACGTAGGCAACGATAACCTCCTGAGATCAAGGCAGCTGCAGATTTTGGAGCAAGGGGCTGCAGTTGCTCTCCACCGGCTGCAAAACCTAGGGCATGAGGGGAAACGCCTGGCTCTCACCTGATCTAAGATCTGATTGGTTCATATTCTGATCCAAACATCCGGTGGTAGAACATGAAACGTTAGTTGGTCACATGTATTCTGTAAATCATGTTATGTTGATGATGACAACTATATGGGCCATAAAGAGGAATGTGATCTGTGTTATTTTGTCAAGTTTCCTATGAACACACTAAACCTGCAGCTGATAACCTTTACTTATTATTACAGTCATGTCTCCATATGCATTATATGATATCCACAAGCACGTGAGGATGTGTTTCAGCTGCTAACAGGCACCAGAATAAAAACTACAAATTAAACAAGTATGAACTCTAACGCGATACCTTCATCCGTCGTCACCCGTGAGCTACACATGTAGGGAAATCTGTCCAACTTAAACGCCGGCTTTCAGCCACTCCCCCTGCTGCGTCCGTCTGCTCTCGTCCGTTTTCCAGGCGAGGCGCAGCTCAACTCAAACACGGCCATTTTTACGTGACTCAAGGTGGTACAGCTTCTTAAAGGGACAGGAACATTGCCAACCTACACACATCTTCTCATTTTTTTTTATCATCAAATGTATTGACACGGGAAAAATGATCACGATGAGAGTCAGAAATTTTGATAACGATAAATTTTCGATTTATTGCCCAGCCCTAGCTGCTGGTGGGAACCTAACCAGCGTGTGGCTCTAGAGATAAAACTTCCCGGTTCACCGGCAGCACGTCTGTCTCATGGAGATGGGTCGTGTTGGGAAGGCTTCCTTTAAGCCACTGCTTTAACAGACCGATGAAAACATGCGTGATGTCTGAGCTGTGTACATGGAACACGTGTACATGAAGATAATGCCTGAATGCTACCCCCGAGTCCGCTGGGACACGTCTCTTACCTGCCGTACTCGAGCAACGTGGAGTGAACTCTGGACTCTTCATCCTGCAGCTGCTCCGCGTCTCTCTGCCTCCTGTACTTCCTCTGAGGCTTGTACACGTCCTGAAACACAGCGACCACCACACAGCTCATCCAACATCTAACACACAGATAGTCCATGAGTTTTACTGAATCATGGCTGTCCCTTGGCTGGGATTACCCGCGCGTGTCGCAGCAGCTCACCTGCACATCCAGAACAGCTCCCGCTGCTTTGTCCTTCCTCTGGAAAAACTCTTCATCCTAGACAACAAATTCTCACAGTTACACAAAAGATGGAGCCTAAACGAGCTGCAGCTGACAGGCAGAGATACACGTCTGGAATCATCACCACCGCTGTCACAAAGAAGATGAAACGGTCAGATTTGAACTCCCTTAAGGAAAAAGAGGGAATGTTTATATGTCATCATGAGATTCACAAGAACTGGATGAGTGAGAGGTCCGTTTGATCTGTTATAGCCAGACGTGTGCCGTGTGTCTGCTCGCAATCACACGTCATGTTCCAGACATAAATAATCTTTAAATATTAAAGGGACTTTACGGACTTTTGAATTTTTATGCTCGAGATTGCCCCCTCAGGCCAAAAGCGTAACGGCAGCTTCAATAGTAGGCTCGTGCACGAGGCGCGCATGCTGTACGTGCACACTCCTTAAGGAAAACAACAGCTGAGACAGTCCCGTGTGTGTGTGTGCGTGTGTGTGTGTGTGTGTGTGTGTGTGTGTGTGTGTGTGTGTGTGTGGCCCAGAGGACAGGAGAACGCGCAGCTAATTAATTAAATAATTTGGTTCTGTACCGTTCTCTTCAGCACAGCCGACAAAGGTTTAAGATGGGTCAGTCCTCCTGCATGCTCAGATCATTCCCTTCCCTTGCTTGAAAAATTGTTCCAAAATGAAAACTGAACCCACATCTTTTTTATCTGTGAATTCAATGCCGTTCGGCGAGTCTCAAATAAAAATTTGGGCATCTTACTGTAAAAAATATACCATTAATGTAAAAAAGAAACTCTAAATGAACTGTGTTCACACCCAGAATCAAACCCAGGTCTTCTGCACGAGAGTCAGACATCTTAAAAGGTGAGCTACACTCTAGTGGCATTCCAATATCTGTAACTTTTATATCCTTGATGACAGCTGAAACAACGTCAAACCAAAGAACGGTTCGGAGGGAAAATGGCTATTTTGTAGCTAATTTGCAGGAAATATCTAGAAGAAAGTAGCTAAGGGTCCTCAGAAATGTAGCTAGCTTTGTCACTAGGTGTTAGGAACAGCGACAAAGTGGCACTGCCTCACTCTCTGCTGCTAAAGCTACTGATAGCAAATGCTACGGGCGATGCCTGAGCGTGAACGCACATGAAGCAGCCTGCTCGACCGGAGTGTCGGCACAAGAGCTCTCCGACAGGCTCGCAGAGGGTGACGGAGACATGCCCCGATTTTTACCTATCTGTCAAAAGAGACGGAGACAGGTATGGTCAGGACGCTGATTCCTGTAAATTAGTCATGGCCCTGTCAAAAAGTAAAGAGATATTTAGCGACAGCCCTGTTACCTCGGGGAGGCTGTGGTTCTTCTGGAACTGAGAAACAGAATAAGATCTGACGTAATCTCCCATCTCCTCTCTCGTCTCTATGGCTCGTTTCACCAGCCACTGAAAGCACACAAACATACCTTTAATACAAGAATAAACCACAAGCCAGACATTCACAGACCAGGACACTGTGTGGGAATCAGATGACTCAAAGTAGCCAAACAGAGACAGGGACAGTGGACCGACCTGAGCAACATTATGGACACCAAGAGAACTCCTGGTTATTTCCATAGCAGGTAGATGTGAAAAGTCTCAAACTGAACGTAGACACATCTAAAACAGTTTGAATCCATGTGAGTATTCGGTCTGAACTGCTGAGGCGTTTGGTCCTCTCACCTGGATCACTGGGAAGATGTGGATAAAATCCAGCCCCTGGATCTGATGGGGTTCAAGACGATGAGGACACTTCATCTTTGGTAGAACAGAAACTATTTTCTCCGTCAGGGCTCTACAAAAAAAAAACCACACATCACTCAGGTTGGTTTTTAGTAGGGCTGCACGATATTAGGAAAACCTGCAATATGCGATAACAGTGATTAATGTTGCCATGACGATAGTACTTGCGATAAATAAAAACGGAACAAAAATAATTAAAAACAAAGAAATTAAAAAATCATAAAAAAATGAGAAAGGCTAAAAATGTGAGGAAAGGGAAAAAGGCAATCGTTGGATCCTAGGAGAAGAAGAATCAGCAGAAAGAGCAGAAGGCTAACTCAGGTGTTTGCTAACCATCAAAATTAAGTACCGTCCGCCTCGGGGGCGGGCATCTGACCTATGAGAACCCACCCGATTGGCCAAATGGGTGAAGAGCTCTATTTGATTAGTTAAAAAAACATCATGCTTCCGTTTGATTGACAGAATGTGTTATGTGTAGCAAACATTTGAGCTAACCATTCATTGAGATATTTATCTGTTCTTTGCGATATGCATATTGCGCGTGCTGATATCGTGATAAATATATATATATATATATATATATATATATATATATATATATATATATATATAAAACCACTGGAAGCGCTGTGACATGTGGCATTTGAACATTCGAAAGTAGTGTGACATAATTTTCTTTCCAAATGTTCCTTTTTATTCCGTTTAGATACGGGGGTGGGGTTACGGCAACGTTTCCTGAATCTGTAAACTAGTTTACATCACTTCACTTTTCCCCAAAGAAAGGCTGTGAATACTTGTGTTTTACTTGTGCGCTTTATGCGCGTCATCCATACGAAGTGTTGTGTGTAGACGTCTGAGGGAAAATCTATTTAGGAATCAGGCTGGGAGAAAAGAAAATGTGGAAAACGTGACCCTCTCTCGGTGAACATTTGAACAGTTAGATGGAATGTGAACAGGCTGTCAGAAGCACCGAGGAACATCTTGTTGGTGTTTTATGAATAAAAACTGAACCATAACATCACTTACATTTTTTGGCCAATTGTGGAGTTTTCTTGAAAGAGAAGATCCACATCAATGTCAAAGTTACATGTGGTGATGCACCAGGTCATTCCACCCACCACCTGTAGACGAGTCAAGGTGCACGGGTGAGTGAGAGTGGACTAATGAAGAACCAGAACAGGTACTGTGTGGACACTACTGACAGACTCATCGCAGCTTCTTCCCTAGGATCAGGAGTTTTCCACTCCACTGTCGCCACATGCTAGGCTAGTTTGGTAATTGCTGTAAAGTCTCTGTCACAAGTCAGTGACTCGATGCAACCTGCTGGATTTTCTATGGGAAACTTTTAACTAATTGCCATAATGAACTGAACTCAATTGGAGTGTTTACTTTGTGAAGTGCCGTGAGACGACTCGCCATGATTTGGTGCTGTATAAATAAACTGAATTGAAATGAATCAGACCTGAGACACGCCCCTAGTCATGGAAAGCTGATCCGTATGTCCATCTCCTGCTCCATCCTACCATGACTCATTAACAGGACACTAGAGCTCCTCAGCATGCAGTAAAGTCTAACCACTAACCGGATGGAGCTTTTCATCGTGTTCCGGTTGAGAGGAGCCGACTCCTCCTCATCCTGGCTGCTTCCCACTCAGCTGTGGAGCTGGAGGTCATCGCTCAAAGATGAAGATCATCAGTCAATTCAAAAGAAACGGCACTTATTTTGTTTCTAGGCTGACCTCTCCTTAGCAGAGGCCTGTCTGTTCACACTTTACACCTGAGACTTTAGAGAGGAGCTCTGGATCATACCAGCTGTTCCACCAAGTTCTCAGACAACCCTACAGTGGTGAGGTGACTAAAATCCTGCTCTGGGACAGGGAACCAGAAAGTCTGAAGTCATTCTACAAGAACGCTTTGCTTCTAATCTGGCAGAGACCACAGAAATGGTGGATGGCTTTGGGTGGAAAAGGTCACCGACCTGCTCCATCACCATCCTGTGTGGATTCCATGGTCCCATATGTAGGGAAGAGAAGTCCTAAATCTGCTGAATGACAGGTTAATCAGCTGCTGAACCATGGGATTTAGTGCAGAGGCCTCTGTTCATAATCTAGAAAATCGCACTGATCCAGGAGCTGCACAGAAGTTGGATGAATGTTCCACAATGCAGCAAGGCCGGAGCACTCTGGTCAGGGACCGTTTATTTTACAAAGCAAGCAGAACGAACATTCTGTGGAGGACACCTCCTCCCCATGGGGATTGAGCTGGAACGGGTAAACCCCAGTAAAACCCAACATTCCCTACAGGATCAGAGTCACAGATAATCCATCCCACTTCATGTCCTGTAGCTCGTCTCACCTTTAGGCGTCATCTCTAAACATGTCAGTTCCTTCACCACAGCTCAGTGACTTACAGAGAACCTACCGCTCTACTGTGAACTGCATGCTTCTGCTGGACTCTGTTATGGTAGCATGTGTGTGTTTTATTTTACTGTGCTTAAGTTCTGCCTGCTGTCACCCTCCGGTAACCAGGCTGGCCTAGAGCCGGGAGCACCTTATCAAACGGAGACAGGCCTTTGATCCGAGCCCGGAAGTATCCCGCAGCCAACAGAAGCTCGAGGATCTCGGACAGCTTCACGGTCTGTTCTTCATCTTCTCTGGTTTCCACCTGAAGCAGGGAACAAGAAATCTAAGTGTCTGTTTCCGGTCTGTTAGGACGCGTAGACAGCTGCCAGATCTTCACATAATGCTTCCTTTTACTGATTATTTAACACTAAAAGCACGCTGCAGATCTCAGGAGCTGTGGCCTTCCCATGATCATCGTCTCTACCTGAATGAGGTTTCCTTCCTGGTCGTACTGAGCACCAAGTTTTGATCCAGCTCTCACCCTGTGGAAAACAGACGCAGCCGACGCCATGTTGAACGGAGGCGTCGATGATAGGTCACGTGTGACGAGTTCACATGGCCCGCCGCGTGACACCCCTGGATTATGACCGTGCGCAGTGCGTGGTAGATACACTTTTATTTTAAAAGGCGCATAAGTGTTTTGGTTTTATGACTAGAAACACTTTAAAATCAGACTCTGTTGTTGTTTTTGTGTCCATCTGAATGTTTGCTTTTCTAAGTGTTTTGTGACGTCACAACATGTATGCAAGCCGACAGTAAAACAAAACGTCAGGATCGACGGCCTTGATAGAAGGGAACGATTACCACGGACGAAAACCTTATAAAAATACAAAATAATAAGATGTTGCGTTTTAGTGAGCTGACCGCGAGATCTTCTATTATTGTAAATAAGTAGCTTCTGTAGGAATAACAACAGAGAGAAGCTGCAACCATTTGAACCTATTTTTGAAAAAGGAGGTAGATAAAAACCGAATTAACAGGAAATAAAAATTAAACAAATAAAAAAATTTAAATGTCACAACAAAAATTGTTCAACCTCTTAATGTTGATTTGCGACAGTCCGGGTTCCATTTGCGGCAGTAGTGCGCGACAGCACCAGCGTTTACGGCGCATGTGGATTCTGTTCGGTTGGGCTCCAGCATGGCGAAAGTTTCTAAGATCAGAAAGTCTAAAAAGAGGTCCAAGGTGGCGGGGAGCAGCTCGAAGAAGCCGCCGGTAGTTTATGATGATGAGCAAGAGGAGGACGTGTGTGGAGCTGAGGAAGACGTCAGCAGCGAGGAGGACGACGGCGAAGATGAACGAAAACGCCAAAAGCTGCTGGAAGCCATCGGCGCCCTCGGGGGTAAGAGGAAACACGCCCTGGCAGAGCGATCAGAGGCGGCCGTTCACATGTCCGAGTTCTCCATGACCGCGGACGATGAGGCCGACCTGTCGGACCTGATTGGAACCATAGAGAAGACCCCCGCCGCCACGGCCCAAACCAAGAAACATCTGAAGAATCTGCAGCGCAGCAAAAATACCGTCGAGTGTCCTCTGAGCAAACAGGAGAACGAGAGGATCCAGAGAGACGTGGCTTTCCAGAAGGCTGCTTTAGAGGTGAGCCGCTGGCAGAGCATCATCACCCAGAACCAGAGGGCCGAGCAGCTGGTCTTCCCTCTCAACCAAGAACCGTCTGGGCCCAAACCCATAGAGCAGGTGGTGATGGGCTGGGAGGCTCGCACTCCGCTGGAGAAGGAAATCTTCTCCCTGCTGGCTGCTAACAAGCAGCCCATCCTCGATGCAGTCCTGACCCCTGCTGAGGAGGCTTCGGTGAAGGCCATGGACCTGGAGCAGGTTAAGATCCGCCGTGCAGAGCGACAGAAAGCCCGGGCTCTGCAGTCCTACTACGAGGCCAAAGCCAGAAGGGAGAGAAAAATCAAAAGCAAAAAGTACCACAAGGTGCAGAACAAGGCCAAGCGAAAAGAGTTTGTGAAGCAGTTTGAAGAGCTGGTGAAGACGGATCCAGCTGCTGCCCTGGAGGAGCTGGATAAGATGGAGCGGGCCCGGATGCAGGAGAGGATGTCTCTGAAGCATCAGAACAGCGGCAAGTGGGCCAAATCCAAAGCCATCATGGCCAAGTATGATGAGGGCGCTCGCAAAGCCATGCAGCAGCAGCTGGAGGTCAACAAAGACCTCACCCAGAAACTGGTGACCTCACTGAGTAAAGAGGAGGAGGAGGAGGAGGAGGGAGAAGGTAACACAGACATGCTACCTGACTTTGTGAATGATGCAGAGTTCAAGCAGGATTCCTCCAACCCTTGGATGAGGGGGAGACTTTCTGAAGACCCCACAGAGATGGAGTTGAAGGACACCATGGATGTGACTGCAGAAGGAGCTTCAGCAGTGACTAAGGAGGCTGAGGAGGAGGAGGGGAGTGAGGCAGAGGGAACAGAAGAGGATGCACTCCTTAGGGAGTTTGACAGCAGGAGGAAGCAACGTCAGGACCAGGAGTCTGATACCTCAGCTGTCATTGTTAATGATGGTGATGACGGGGTGGAAGAGGATCAGGTGACTGAAGATAAAGTAGCAGAGATCTCCGACGAGGAAGAGGAGGGACTTTCAGAATTCACCAGAATGTACAGAGGAATAGGGAAGAGCCTGGAAAAGGATGCAGGCAGCAAAGATGGTTCAGCTGAGCTGGAGGAGGGGCTGATGAGGATCAGGTCTGTGGACGACGTGGATCTTCTCCCTCAGGAGACGCCCACTGAGCCCCAGCAGGCCCCCACCCCCCAACACCAGAAGTCTGCAGAGCAGCAGCCGAGCAGAAGCCGAAAAAGGAAGAAGGGCATAGAGCTGAGAGAGGTTCTGACCAAAGAGACAAAAGTCATCAAAGTCCCACTCGCTCCAACCGTCACAGACTCAGAAGAAAAGCTGGACCAGAGGGTCCTCATTGAGGAGGCGTTTGCTGGAGATGATGTCATCTCAGACTTTGCCAGAGAGAAGAGGAAACGGGAGGATGAAGGGAAGCCAAAGGTGATAGACCTGACGCTGCCTGGCTGGGGAGAGTGGGGAGGGCTGGGTCTCAAGCCATCTAAAAGAAAACGCAGAAGGTTCAGGATCAGGACTGAGGTGCCTCCACCCAGGAAGGACCAGCATCTTCCCAGTGTCATCATCTCTGAGAAGAGGAACAGCGCCATCACCCCCCATCAGGTCAGCTCACTGCCATTCCCCTTTGAGAACCCTGCACAGTTTGAGAGCAGCATCCGCACTCCCCTGGGCCGCACGTGGAACACGGAGCGGACCGTGAAGAAGATGACCAAGCCCAGGGTGGTCACCCAGCTGGGTGCCATCATCGAGCCGATGGCTGATGAGCAGCTGCTTAAGGGCAAGAAGAAGGTTTCTGCTAGGAGACGCTCTCGAAACACCAAGACTAGGACACAACCAGCTAAATAAACCTTCAGACAGAGCATAGGTCTCGCTGCTGTGCTGCTGACTCAGACATGAAGAAACCACAGATTTAAAACCGGAGCAGAAACCGTGTTTTCCCTCCATCCTGTTAAATCTAAACTAAATCTAAAGAGTTGATAAAAAAGCTGTGAGGATGTGGACTCGGTGAGTGATCGTTATTGAAGCTAACTCTGATCTCCTGCAGCTTGTTTTCTGTCACGCAGCAGCTCGTGTCTCTCCAGGCTGGCTGCAGAGCTTCTCAGCTGTCACGTTCATGTGGACACCACCACTCAGGGTTGTGTGTGCAGATCTATTAAAGAACAAGATGACTTTAAAGTCTGTGTGTTATTACGTCCTTGTGTGTGTGTGTGTGTGTGTGTGTGTGTGTGTGTGTGTGTGTGTGTGTGTGTGTGTGTGTGTGTGTGTGTGTGTGTGTGTGTGTGTGTGTGTGTGTGTGTGTGTGTGTGTGTGTGTGTGTGTGAGGCAGTAGCTGGTTTCACAGCCTTGGCTGGACACACTCGAGCTCTCTGGAGGCAGCTGACAGCAGAAGGTTCTTCTGGCTGGTGTTCACAACCACCCTAATGTTGGAGATGCTGACGTGAAATGGCCATTAGTGTTAGGTTAAGCCTTCACGCGTGGATGAAAGCTGATGCGAGCAGGCTGTTTTTTTCACACTATTGAATGTTCATGGATGTGGTTTTATGCATCATTTTCCTCGGGCAGCATGGACGAAAAGGTCTGGAGGAAGTGTCTTCCTGGTGTAGTCCAAGGCCCGTGCAGCTCCACCCCCACCCTGACAGGTGTAAGATTAACTTAGTTGGAGGCAGAGCTGCTCATGCACACCAAATTAAATTAATGGAACAAATCTCCCTCCTAATTAAGATGAAAATATGTGTCAGTTGTAACCTTGCTAAGCACTAATTATATCTAAATGATTTATCTGTTTCATCCTGAGCGGCTATTGGCTCATCTCACCGATAGGCCTGGCTGGCTGTTAAGAGATGGCTGCTGATTAACTGTGACAGGTCGTGCTGCAGAGAAGCTGCATGTCGCCGGAGAGCCAATCAGCTGCAGCCAGAGCTCCCTCTGTCCTCCCTTTCATTAGCCTACACCGAGTGTGCAGCTGAGTGTCGCCGGGCCCTGGCTTCCCTTCTGTCTCTCCACAAGATAAAAACCAAGTACAAGGCAGGAGATTTGAGAGTGGAGGAGTTGGAGAAGGGGTGGGATTCTCCCCGGGCTGAGGCAGCTGGAACAGGGTTTTTTGCTGGAAGAGGGGTTCTTGTGAATTTTGTTCATCTCTTTAGGTCAGAACAGCATAATCAACACCAGTGTTTTTCATAGGACTCTATAAAACCAAACAGTACCCGCATGTGGCCAGCAGGTGGGGTGCTCGGCCCGGCCTGCACACCTCGACATGAACACAGGCTGGCGTCATTAATCTTAGCAACACATGTAGGAGTGTTTCAATGGTAGCAGGTCTGATTTGCATTAGAATCACACTCCCTCATGCACACACTGACTAGTCTATAATCATTGTTCTGCAGGCCTTCTCAGGAGGGAGAGGGCCAGCTTTGTTATCACTGTACACTTCACACACACACACACTGGCACAGCCTCCTTCATGCTGCCCATAACGAGACATTCCCATTTCCTCCCTACAGCTCCCAAGAGTAGTGATGTTGCCTCTGTTCCTCCGTCCCTGCTGCACAAGCCTTCAAATTTCCACGTGCGAGTCCTCTCCTGCAGTCATTCGTGTTTGTTTTTGTTGTTTTTCCATCTAAATCTGAAGTCCAGGTTGCAGCTCTAATCACCTTTACCCCATTTAAGGTGAGATAGGTACAGATTCAGTTTGGGATGTCTGGTACCACGAAGCTGGTCCACCTTTCTGCCTGTGTCTGTCACCATGGTAACCTATAACCTGCCACATAGATGGTTTCCAGTTAAGGAACTGCACGTGTTAATGCACCACTTCTCCACCAATCAATGCCTTTAAGAATAAAGATATTAACATCCAGCCGTGTGCACCAGGAGGAGCTCGGTCTGCTGCGTGTCTCTGAGCCGCAGCATCACTCAGAATGATGTTGGTGAGATAAATTAAAAAAATGTTGCTGATTATTCTGGAGTTCACACGCCATACTGGACAGTTTTCATCAGAAACAAAGATTTCTAGTTTTGTTTTAGCTGATGCTCCACAGATCCTGAACGAGTTAAGCAGCTTAATCTGTGATCCAGGGTAAGGTGAACCCTAAATATGTTGAACACTTTTTTGTAATCCGAGCCTCTGGATTTATTTTACTCTGTGCTGTGATTTAGGCTCATTTGTCTCCGATTGCCTCGGCGTGCTTGCTGTTAGTGTGTAAATGTCAGCACGCCTGCACTGGGGAGCTGCTGTGTGTCCTGTGGCTCATTTGTCTTTACGGTTTTCTGGCGGCACGTCTGCACAAACATGGTTGTTCCCGGAGCTGCAGAAGAAGTGCGTCAGAGCAGCCAGAGACCCATCAGAGGAGCCGGTGGAGCGGGACGGCGTGCGTAAGGCAGGCTGGAGCCATGCGCACCTTACAAACATCATTTTACTAATACAGCTGCTTCATGTTGGTTCCGCGTGACAAAAGTAACAAAGGGAGATTTAATGGAAGGTGGAATTTCAGCTGAAAGCAGCAGATATTTACTGCAGTGAAACCAGATTTTTTTTCTTCTGTTTTTATTTTCCTTCAATGTTAAATGAGCACAAATTAAAAAGTGGAACTTCAATAAAGGTCTGATATTTTCATTCAGCGATATTTTATTTTCTGAATTATTTATTTTATACGACATTTGTTACAAATCTGACCATTACCTGAAAAACTCCCATTCTTTGATAGCAAAGACAGTTTTAAACATTAGTAATAATAAAGGAGCAATCAAAATACCATAATAACAAGAGACATTAAGCATCTGAAACACTATTGCCGCATAATTATTAAATACGCTGTTCACATGTAGCTCAAGTAAACTCAGACAGGATGCACCTGAACACACACCTGAGTGTGAGGTGATGGACAGAACTATTTTGCTGCTTTGGGATGTGAAAGTGTAATCACCATAATCTGTCTCAATAAAAGTGACACAAAATGTTTGCACATATCTGCTCTCCTAAGACATTCTTCTGTGCACCCAGCTGCAGCTGCATTACAACCTCCACTGCTCCCAAACATATGGGAAATCACATGAAATGCTCCTTACAGTTTTTAAGTCTTACATTTGATCCAACTTTTAATACGAAAACTAAAATTAGAAATGGTCTTGTTTTTCATTTGCATCAAATAAGTCTTTTATACGGATTTGCTTCGAGCAATGGGGGGTTTGAAATGTGCTGCTTTCAAACAAGCGGCACGTATGGTGGAACAAAAGGCCGTCCGTGTACCAGACCAATGTCTTCTGTTGCTCCTACATCACTGAGAGAGTCTGTCACCATCGGGGCTGTGCGAGGGGGCAAAGAAGGAGGGGTGAGAGGGTAACTTTAGATCCTAAAGAGGTCACAGAGCTTATTATTTTGGAGTCAGGAACTGTTGTGGTCCATTGGAGATGACATTTACAACCTGAGCCAGACTCCACCCCGTAATCACTGTCCACACCCACAACCCAACTGGTGCAGGCATCTGTCACGTTTACGCCGATAGACCTGACAGCGGACTGATAATGGAAGGCCTTTAGCAGGATGATGGATGGTGTCTCCTGCTGCTCTCTGGCTGAAGCAGGGGGCCTGCTCCCTCCAAGTGGCCCCTGGTGACTAATTGAAAACCTCCAAGCCTTCATATTACCCACAAGATATTCTTTATCCCTTTCATGATTGGGGTTAAGTGATCATCCCAGGGGGCTGTGAGAGCAGCACAGACCCCCCCAGTCCAAAGAATCAGATCCAATGAATTCTGTTGATCTAGTCGGGCCCCGCGTCAGGATAACCACAGGCACCTGCTTAGGAACGCATGAGAAGCAGCCATATTCCTTTCATTCAACAAAAGATACATTCGGATTTTCCAAGGAGGAGCCACACACACACACACACACACACACACACACACACACACACACACACACACACACACACACACACACACACACACACACACACACTCACGAGTGTCCCTTTTATTTTATCTATCAGTGATGTCAGCATAATCTTGTAGATTAAAAACGTATGTACTTGTGTGATATAATCTTCTAATGCTGACTCTGTCCCCCATCTCAGACTCAGGCTACAAACACACAACATGACAGCTTCTAGAAACAGGATGAGGTGCTTTCCCTTTTCAGTAACAGCAAAAGGTTGGTCATTATATGCCTGCCCTAAATGAACTGGTATGGAAATGAAACCATAGATAGACAACATCTGTATCATCTCCACTTGAACTCATCAGGCAGTGGGGTCAAATTAGGTGCTGTTAGAACATTAGTTTTATTAAACATTTATTTTACATGAAATACATGAGATTAATAATCTCTTGTGTCCCCGTCCCATTGGGAACACTTAAAAAAAGAACTAGGGTTAAAACAATCTAAAAAAACTGAAGTTTTCAACAAAATTCTGTAAGCTAAGTTTTTCGAAAAACCTGTGTGATAAATTAATTCTTTCATCTCAATGACAGGAGCCAATATTGTATACTTGTATAGCGCCTTTCAGACTCTGAGGACCTCATTATTATTATTATTATTATTATTATTATTATTATTATTATTATTATTATTATTAACAATCCAGTAATATTATTATTATTAGTAGTAGTAGTAGTAGTACTTGTACTACTACTACTACTACTACTACCACTACAACTATTAATAATAATAATAATAGTATTAATATTGATAATAATAATAATTAATAATAATAAATTAGTCATCCAAATAATGTTTGTGTTGACGTTGGTGAAACATGCATTACTTGTAGAAAATAAGCTTTTGTTTCTGTCCATAATTGTTTTGAAACTCCACCAAATCCTGATTAATTTGATTATTCTTAATATTTTTCAAGTTCAAGACAACCTGTGAGTTTTCCAAACGCAAATTCTGGTTACATAAGCGTTTTTTGGGGGATATTTTCAGTCATTCGATCCGAGCAGTTGGACTTTTGAATGAAAATGCTAGGGCAGCCCACTCGTTGATTGGTCCCAGTCACGTGACCCGATGCTGTGCTTGAACCATTCAAGTTGAATGATTCAGTAAACACTCAGATTAATACCTACAAGGAGTAGATAGCTGCTTCTCTAATTCTTGCTACTTTTTACATTAATAATTTTATCATGAGTGTTTTATTAGTTCTTATATTTGCTTATCTCTTAATTAATTTTTTTCTATCTTACCTTCTTCACCAAAATACCGCAGCAATTTCCTAATGTTGTGACTTGGCACACATATGGCAATAAAAACTTCTGATTCTGAGCGTGTAACTTTGATCACGTGATATGTCAACGATATTTTTTATAGGGATTACGTCACGGATCTCGATGTTGATTGGTTTCTGGAACTCAGTCCCGGAAGTAGCTAGAAGCGGAGACAGAAGCTTCTATTTAAAGGGGGATATATACTGGTGTAGTTTCTCCACGTGAACAGCTTCAAATGTCTCCTGGAGAGTGTCGCTGCGTTCAGCCCACCCCCTAACCCTCAGCCATTATAAGGTAAGGAGGTTTGACTTTAACCCGTTTTCCAGGACGGACCTCAGCTAGCTCACATGTACCAAACTAAGCCTCAGCTAGCTTTACCTCCACTTGTTCCCTAACTTACTTTTATTTAAGTGACGTGTTTAGTCATTTATTTAGTGCTGCAGCAGTTTGGTTCATGGGAGCAAGTGTTGCTGACAGGCTGAGGTCAAACACGCGATGACAGCATTTCCGGTTCTAGGGAAAAGTCCAAATCTCCTTCTGCGTCTCCTGACCTCTGCCCTGGACCTCATCTGAAAGTGTTAGAAGGCCGAAGAAGAAACCTGTGAGATTTAGGGGGAGAGGACAGACTAACGTGCATCTGTTTACGGCCGACCTTCGTCCGGTGTTGCGGTTTAACGTGGGACATTAATAAAGAGTCGGTGACCTTCCGGTAGCGTGGGTGGTCGCTGTTCTCTTGTTTACTGATCAAACCTGGAGAGTTTCAGCTCCAGCGTCTGACTCCTGTTATTATTTTAACTGCAACGTTTCCAGTCAGTCTGGTGTCTTCTGTTGTAATAATAATAATAATAATAATAGTAATAGTAATACTACTACTAATAATAATAATGTGTGTACTAGGTATTTATTATGACACATTTTCTTGGAGAGACCGTGAAACGTACTCGGTAAAATTTGGTACAGCAGGCCGACAGTTGTGTGTTTATGGGAAAACCGTTTGTGTTTCGTTTCTGTGGTCCTGCTGAAAAGTGCAGAGCTCCACATGCCACCTTTCTGTGTGCTAGACAGGACCCGCAGCAGTGTTTAGTTTGTGTGTTTTTCCTATTTGTCTGGAAAGGACACTGTAGTGGTGGTTCCTTTGTTTGTCAACTCACTTCATATTTTCCAACTTTAAAAGCCGCTGCTGCACTGTGGTAACGTTTCGTACGCTGGCAGAAGTTGTTCAGGGTCCAAACTTGAAAGCTGCGTTTTCTTCAAGGTTTATTTTCCAGGTTGGCAACACAGATCCTGTTTTCCATTGTTTCCTGCTGCTTCTCCTGCTCTGGTAAAAAACCATACGCACACCCCAGTGCATGCTGGTCCTATACCAGTGCCTCCTTATACAAAATACCCAGTGATTGTTTTCCTGACTGACTTACAAAGGTAAACAACAAAACAAACTACAAAAATAAACAACTATTAATCCACGAATAAACTTTATAAATGCTTAAAAAAATAAAGTGAACTAATCACAAATTTAAAGAAAATACACAACAATAACACATAAGGAGCTCCAGCAGACACTAAACTCTTCTAAAAGGAGCTCATGCACTTTTTTGTTTGTTTTCCCGGTTCAGTCTCACGGATGTCCCTGACTGACAACCATGAGCAACAGTGATCGGCGGCAGCGGCCGGGGTCCAAAGAGTCACACCGGTGCTCCTGGGGACCGTATATCTCAGCCATCACCAACAGGTAAGCCTTCAGAGTTGCTGGGTGGGTCTGTAATGCCCTGTTAGTACTGACTTACCAACATCACAGCATTTACATAGTTGGATTCTTCTAGTGAGAACCCTGAAGAGCCCGTTTTACAGTTGAATAACTCTGATCTACAACAGTGGGGTGTAACGTGTTTGTAGCATAAACTGTACCAAACACTGTGCCCTAAACAGATTAAAATTTACTTCACAATAAAAACAAAATGTCCTTCACTTTGCTATC